GTGCGGCGGGGACGGCGCCGGGCACGGGCCCGTGGTGGTTTCCGACAGGACACAGCGCCGCGCAACTCCCGCAGCATCTCCTGGCACAGCGAGACCTGTGGGTGGCACGGAGGGGTCAGCTCGGACAGAGGGGTCCCCTGAAGGAGCCCCTGCCCACCTCACCAGGGCCGGAATGCCTGGGTTCCCCAAGAGAACCCGCCCACCTGGCCCGGACACCTGGGTCCCCTAGGATCCCTCTCCCAGTCCCGGATGCCTGGGTACCCCAGGAGAACCCCCCACCCTGGCCCAGATGCCCGAGTCCCTTACTGTACCTCTGCTGAACACCTGGGTTCTCCAAAAGACCCCCCCAACCTTGCCGCGGTGCCTGGGTTCCTTGCTGTGCTGCACCTGGATGCCTGGGTCCCCTAGAAGGACCCCCTCCCAGTCCAGGACACCTGGGTTCGCCAGGAGAACACCCCCCAACCTGGCCTGGATGCCTAGGTCCCCTCCTGCACACCTCCCAAACACCTGGGTTCCTTTGAAGGCCCCTTCCCCCAACCAAGGCCCAGATGCCTGGGTTTCCCAGAAGAACCCCCCCCTCCCACCAACCTATCCCGGATGCCTCAGTCCCATACTGTGGCCCCTGTGCTGCCACCCACCCTGGACACCTGGCTCCCTTGCTCCCCCTGGCCCAGATGCCTGGGTCCCACCCACCTCCTGGGTCTCAGCGGAGCGGCGCGTGGCCCACACGAACTCCATGACGGCTACGAAGACGGCGATGAGGAGGCCGCAGACAAGCACCACAAAGATGCCCCCGATGTTCTCCATGCCCAGGCCTGGGGAGGGGTGGGGGGGAAGAAAGGCAGCCTTGGACACCTGGGTTCTCCAGGCCCTGACCCTCACCCTGCTCCCAACCCAGCACCAAGCCCTCATTCCCAAACGTCTGGGTCCACTGCCCCCATGACCTCTCTCCTGGGACGCCTGGGTCCTTTCCCAGCCCCCTCCCTGGACACCTGGGTCCCTCCCCTCCCCCCCGCCCATACACCTGCATCCCTACCCTTGGCACGATGGTCCTCCTCCTTGGGGCAGTGGCTGCCCTCCCACCACTTGCGCTTCAGGATTTCGAGCCGGTTGTTCTCCTGCAGCTGCAAGATGGCCAGCGTGATCTCATCCCGGAACGGGGATCCTAGGGGTCAGAGGTCAGAGGGCTCAGGCAGGGCCCCAGGTTGCCAGGCCCTGTGGTGAGCAGTGTGTGCTGAAAGTTGGCCCTGCCTCCTCTGAGACAAGCCCCACCTCTTTCCACCTAGGCCCCACCCCCTTTGCTCCACTCCTTCTGCTATAGTCCTGCCCCCTACTGGCTAAGCCCCACCCAACCCTAGCTGCACCCCCAAGTCCAAACTCTAGCCATGCCCCACCTCCTTTCCAAGCAAG